TCAGATCCCACATTTTTTTCTTTTTTTTTTTTTTTTTTTTTTTTTTTGGAAGGCCGAGTTTTAGTGTGTGGGTACGTTTTTCTTCTTCTTCTTCTTCTTCTTCTTCTTCTGCTTCTCCTAAGTTGTTTGGGTGGGCTTAGCCGAAAGCCTCACACCACGTCCATCCTTAATGCCCTTCTTTCAACTCCCTTATAATTCATTGCCTCGCTCGCTCGCTCTCTCTCTCTCTCTCTCTCTCTCTCACTCTTTATTTATTTATTTATAGAATTAAAATTGTATTATGCTAAGAGGTAGATTATTTATTTGTTATTGGCGGGTTCACAGGAAAACACGAGGGGTACGTACAATAGTATCATAATACAATACACTACACAATACACAATACACGATACAATTTGGGAGAGATTAAACAAAACGAAAGAAAAAGAAGAGAAAAAAAAAAAGAAGCATCTTTTTGTTGGACAACTTTCCCACGTTAGCGAAATCGAAAACCCATTCTCTCTCTTTGTCTCTCTCATACTCCATTTGTGTTACCCAATAATGGAAATAGACAGCGGAAGGACTCAGAAAGATACCTAATTACTCAATTTCCTCAAATATCTTATTAATCATTCATCATTCACCTCAAACTCACTTCCCTTATTTGTTTAGTTATTTTTTTACTTTTTACTTTTTACATTTTACTTGCCCAATACACACTTTAACCTTTGCGTTAGTTATGTTCCTAAATACTTTAACCCACCCCTAGTTGGAATGAAGATGGATGCCAAATGGTGTGAGCCCCATCCATATCTATATATGTATGGTTTCCCCCAAGCCATTCAATTGGCTGTCACCTTTCTTTGTGTTTTCTTCCATCCTAAATTCATCATTCATATGCTTTAAATGGATAAGAAAATAGTCGATGCTTTTTTACCGTTAAATAATGAAAATAAAAAGAAAAGAAAAAAGTGGGAGTCCTGTGGGCAATGGGGTGATGGTTTGTTCAGTAAAGGATGAGTGTGGAATAGGAATCAGCTCCCCTTCACCAATTATATATGGGAACTCTTCAACCCTTTGCAGCTTACGTGTAATCCAGATTTCCTGTGTTTTAAAAATTCTACAACATATTTATTATGAAATGAAATACAATTTAATGAACTTTGTCACAACAATAACATATTTATTAATATATTGTTTTGGGTTGTTGTCCACCTTTGTAGACCCGTGTGGTGTTCAAAGTGTGAGCCATTTTTTTAAAAGTCGGTGAAGAATTAAAATTGGGGTTTAAAAACGTGAAAAATAAACCAAAGAAATGGGGAGGAAGAAAGCATGACACTTTTGTAAAGAAAAAGAAAAAGAAAAAGTAAATAGTATCAAATTTAAGGGTGAGAGTGAGAAAAGGGAAATTGGAATAATGTTAAAATTAATTTATTTAATAAAAAAAAGTCACATCGTAGCTTCCTTCCCTCCCAGAAACACCTCTTCCTCGTATTTCTTTCCCACGCGCCTCTCTCTGTCTCTTTTATCTCTCTATTTCTATTTTATATTTATTTTTCCTCTTTTAATCTCTGTTTCAAATTTTTGTATTTTTCCCACTTGCTAAAAATATCCAACTTCTCAAATTCTGGTTTTTGTGCAATCATTTTGAATTCCTCTCTTTTTTTTTTTTTTTTTTTGAAATGAACCAATAAATTAATTTGGAAGAAAGCATTAAAATAAAAAGTACTCCACAATTGAGTGCTCACTAGATAAAGAAACACAAGCTTTGGGAAAAAAATAAAAGAACAAAATTGTTTATATTGTTTCACTAAAAATAGATAAGACAGTTGTTAAAGATTATTAAAAAAGAAAAAAAAAAAAGAAAAGAAAAGACGAGGAGCGTGGGAGACACTGAACAGAAGTCGCGTACACTTAATCCTGGGCTCAAAAATCCCTCAAACCCACTCGACCATACGATAAAAACAATAGATTCGTCGGATTTAGAGAGATAGCATCATCCTTGACATCATCCAAAAATATTATATTCCATTTTTAAAAATGAAGTTTTGTTATGAATTTAAACTAAAATAATGGCAATAATTTTCCCATATTCTGTGAACAAAAAAGAAAATTATAATATAAAATAGGGAGAATGAGTTGGGAGTAGATGCTCCATCCATAATTTTTATATTTCTCGGGTACGCTCATAATTTATTTATTTTTTATTTTTTTTTTTTTTGTAAGGAGGGAAGAACCAATTTCCATTAACAACAATAATAATAAAGAAATGAATTGGATTAGAAAGGTAGAGGGAATTAATTACCGTTTGAAAAAAAAAAAAGAAAAAGAAAAAGAAAAAACCTAAGTGAGACAAAAGAAGAGGCCACGTCACGAGTAGCCGACAAATTCCTCAAAATCTGAATTGTGTGGCTCGGCTCGTGAGAAACGTGTGAAGGAGGTTCCCATAATGGAAGGGGGACGAGGGTAAGTGATGGGAGGGTGGATTGTTGTGCAAGTGGAAAACAGTACCTGTAGCCCAGGCCCACCTCTCACTTTCTCTTGGGGGTGGGGATGCCCACCAGGCCCACTCTCTCTATTATTATTCCTCCTTACCCTCTTCCCCTTCCTCTTCCTCTCCCTAATTTCACCCCCTAAATAATAAAACTCTTCTTCATCTTATAATCACACACTTCCTCCTCATTTTCTATTCACGTACCAAAAACTGGTTTATACACATGTCTCTCTTAATTTAGTTTCTATATGGTTTTCAATTTATAGGAAAAAAATTATATTTGATTTTATTAGGTGTTCAATTATTACAACATGGGTAAATCAAGGGATTCAGCTAAATCTTTGAAGTATGGCAACATACATATTTTATTTTTGGTGGGGGTAGCTAAGATTTGGGATACTTACCAATTCAAATCCCAAATGTTTATGAACCCAACCACTTATGAGTACCATTAACACCAATTTCAATTGGTTCTTCGTTATAACTAAAAATATTATTATTATATTTTTTTTCCTTGTTTCATAAATGAAAGATCCGAAAGTTTTTGATACGAGATTTAAATAGGAACCCCCACAAATAATTAAGAACATATAGATATGGATTTAGTGAAATAGTTTGAGTGGGACATGGGCTATAAATATAGTTGGTATTGTATCATAATATGTAGGTATTTTGAAATGGACACCTCCTAAGTGCTATATACTACAATAGGATGCATTTCCAATTACAGAAAGTTTTTACATTATTGGACCTGCCAGTTGTGTTTACTTTAATGCTAAATCACCATCACCTGCCTAGCCTCTTAAATCTCCCACCTTCTATTCAATTTACACAACTTTTTTATTTCTACCTTTTAATTCATTTAATTTTTTCTTATTAATTGACTACATAAATTTTAATTCCATCCACTAAAATTAAAATTTGCAAACAAATAATTGATATTTAATTATTGTACATATTCAGAAGTACCATATTTAATATCTTTACTGAATACATAAAACCCAGCATTCAAAGGAGATAGAAAAGTCTTTATTTATATAATTATTAAAAAAAAAGATTATATTGTTTGGGAGAAGAAAAAATAATGGAGAAAAGATTTAATATAAGATAGTACAAATGTTTGGGTACTTTCATAGTACTTATATTATGAAAGTCTCTTTAGGTGGTCTTCCTACTTTTCTCATTTACTATAAAATTTAATGCAAAATTTATTAACTTCTGCACTTCTCATATTCCCACATAATGATAATAAACTATTTAAATTGAAAAATCTCCCAAATGTTTGGTAGGAAGTGTTTTTAGGATATTCAAATAGTTCATAGCTTTTATAAGAAAGAAAGAAAAAGTATTTATATGCGCTAAAATCCTTAATAGTAATTAAAATGTATTTTAAGTTGGTGAGATTTAAATTCTCATGTTTCATTTTCATGGTTAAAAAAAAAAAGTAAAGAACAATTATGGATTGCAGAGGTTTTCAACCTTTGTACTATTAAATTTGATTCAAGCAATAATGTTCTATTTGTCAACAAAATAATAATAATAATAATAATAATAATAATAATAATAATAATGTTGTAGAAATTCATAGTTCTAATTATTGAATGATAATAATCATATCACCTTTTCACATCAATATAAATGATGTTACCTTATTTGAATCTTCAAAATTTAAGCCTATAATTATGAGCGTCAAGAAAGTTGTATAATTGGTTGGGAGAAATAATAATGTCTATTCATTTATATTCAATTTTTTTAGTTGAAAGATTCGGATGAAAACATATGTTTACCATCCCCTTACTGCCACCTAGATTTATTCTAAACCTTAAAAACATCATAATAATCTAATTAACCATTTAATTTAATTAACACAATACACTCATATAAGTTCATAAGTTAGTCTTTAAATATAATGACTTCCAACGATTACCGAAACAAAATTGAGTCGGACATAACATTGATATCTATAGTTATATTGGTTTATCTATAGTTATATTGTTTTTAATAAATTAAACATGAATATAATGGTTAATAATACAAAACTTCACATAAATCACGTTAAAAATAAATAAATAAATATCACCTCCTGTCTAAAATGAAATAAATGAAAAGAGTAGAGAATATGATGTGAAGATATGCATCATTAAATTGAGGGATTTGGGGGATTTGGTTATGCTTATATTGTGCTACAATTTGGGAACACTCATGGTTTGTTCTTAACCTCACATGCCCGTTACCTCCCACTTCCTTTGCTCATAAATTGAACAACAGAACACAAAGGTGATTGATGGGAGATCTAATGTCTCCTCCTCCCTTTCCCTTCGTTTCTCAAAACAAAGAATTGAGTTATGAGAGCAGCTGTGTAAGCATAAAGCCCATCATCATATGAAGCCCACGGCATTCCATTGGCTCCTTGGCCCTTTGTTCAATCCTCTTTTTATCCAAATCCTGACACAAAATCAGAAAAGTTGCCACCAGCATATTAATATCCATCATAATCTAATCTAGTATAGTATAACAATTGAGAGTTGAAGCTTAAATTCAATCCATCCAATTGAAATAAGGAAAAGGCCATTACTTTTTTTTTTTTTTTTTTAAAAAAAAAACCAAAATTCCTCAATTCCTCAATTTTTGGATGAGCCCTCAAATTTGAATGATGATACGGAGGGAGGGGACAATAAAGTAGGCATTGCAATCCATTTCAATTAGTTATGTCAAATCCATCCCCCATTCTTTGATTTTTCTTTTTTTGGATTTGCCCTTCTTAATATATGTATATTAACTTATTCGCTGTCTCCATACATCAAGATGATGGATTATGTCTTAATATAATTTAATTCAATCTCTAAACATGGAACCACAACCCAAAGCATAGGTCCATAGGATGGAATTAAAATTTGAAGAGAGAATTTGAGCAATATTTTAAGAAAAAAGGAAAGCCAAGTAAGGGAGGGTGAAGGGTGGTGGGAGCTGGTATGCTAGTTGCTACCCACCTACCTACCGACTGTAGTGGCGCTTCTTTTTAGCGTCCGGCTGGAGCTGGACCCGGACCCTTGTCTCCACTTCATTCAATGTCAAACACTCCCCATTCCCCCATAATACAATACAATCAAATTCAAATAATTGACCCCAACAACGACCAATTTAATATTTATAATAATACAAGCATTTCATTTCATTTCATCTCAACTCAACTCAAAAAATCTCATTAATCATCGTATCATCATCAATCATCAACCCTCCTTGGTAAGCAAACTACAAAATACTTAACTTCTCCAAAATCTTATCGCTTCGGTGGTGGCTTTTTGTAGGCCCCTCCTTCCTTCCTTCCTTCCTTCCTTCCTTCCTTCCTTCCTCCCCTCCCCTCCCCCTTCTTTTTCCGACCTTTTCTCGAGAAAATCAATTCCTCGATTCAATTTGTCAACAAAGGAAGAAATTGAATTCCATCATTCATCATAACTGAGTTCCTAACTTAATGTACATTCTTTCATAATATTTCTACATCCGCCAAAATTTCTTTTTGCTAAAACAAATAAATAAACCCTAACGCAGAGAAAGAGACAGANAGACAGAGACAGAGAGACAGAGACAGCCAAATCATGAGACCACAAAACGCAGCATACCTCGGCGGCGCGTGTTGGCGCCTCAATCACACAAAATTCTCTTCCCTTTCACTCTCTCCCTATCCGCTTCTTCAATTTCTTCTTCCGGGTCGGGTAATTTGTTCAAATCCACCCGATCCAAATACCCGCCGTACCCTTTACTCTCTGCCGGACACGCCGATGCCTGTCGCACATGGCTCCGATGCTGGTGTTGCCTTTGGTGATCACCTACCGAACTCTCCAGAGCATCCACTCGAGCTCCCACCTCCGTCGCTTTCTTCCGAATGGAAGCCGCCGACATGTCCCCGCCACAACCGCCGCTCATTCCGCGGCCTTCCCCGGCCAACAACTCGGGGAAATTAAGTCTGGCGGAGGGACCTCTGAGGTAAAAGACTGCCGTATCGTAAGCCCTAGCGGCGGCGACAGGAGAAGAGTAAGAGCCGAGCCAAATCCTAGAGCGCTTATTGGGCTCTCTAATCTCAGCCACCCACTTCCCCCACTTCCTCATCCTTATCCCTTTGTAGGGCCTCTGATTGTCAACCCCTCTCTTTCTGGTGGCCTCGCGGCCTGCCTCTGCTACACCGTCCATGCCCGCAGAATCCCAAATCTGAGCTCTCCCCTTGGCTAACCCGAAATCTGAATCTGAATCAGAATCAGAATCTTCATGAAAAAAGGAAAAAGGGGGATCGGATTGAGGAGGAGCTATGGGCATGAATTTTGAGAAACAAGAGAGAAGGGCTTGAGTTTGGGTCTTGCAACCTCCATTCCCCTTCTTTGCTTTTACTACCCACTGCTATGCTACTCCTCCTTTGCCACCGAGTTTGTCATCTCGATTAACCCTCCACGTTCATTTTCTTTTATTTTTTTCCGTATCCGACCAAATTAGAAATTAAAGGTTTATATTTATGTGCGCCTAAACTTAAATTCACCGACAAAATCTCAACTTCTTGTCCGTAATTTTTATTTTTTTCATTTTTGTAAAACTTTTTAACTTTTAACAACATTATTTTAGATATTTAATTTTAACTTACTTTTTCTTATTATAATATAAATGAATATATAAATTACTTAGTATAGTGAAACCAAACCGTTAAATAAATTAAGACAAGGATTATAAAAATATAAAAAAAATATATATATATATATATATATATTAATTATTTGAGATGAGAAGGAGTATAGTTTGAGATTCAGTCATTGAATAATATAGGTAGAGTGGATACGATTATGTATTTTAGTAAAAAAAATATATAATTTAACGTAATTGGTGATAGTGGCGGTGGTGGAGGGATGGTGGGAGTGGGACTGTCATTTTGTGTGGAACCTCAACTGGACTTCAAATACTTTTTTTATTACTTAATATTTCCATTGTTAGAGTTGATGGTCCACTAAGATTATTACTATTTTACTAAATTACTTCAAACCCATAAATATGCTCCACTCAATTCACAAACTCTTACTTTTTTTTTTTTTTTTTTTTATAAAAAAAATCATTTCATATATTTTTATATTTTTAAAATCGTGGAAGAAATGCAAATTATAACAAAAGTTGAGAAGAAAATAAAATTGAAACGTAAAGATAGAAATTAGGTAATGGAGAGGGTGAGAGAAAAATAAATAATGGAAAGAAGACGGAAGGTCGGTCGGTGGTTGGTGGTTGGTGGTTGCTGGGCGGATACCGTTGGAGGCGATCGACGTATCTGCGGAAAAACGTTTTGTTTCTCAATCCCTGCTTCTGTTGCCCGTAATTGAGGGTCTTTTTGGGTATTTCACTATCTCATATCCTCTATATTTTCTTAAGCGGAAGATCCTAAATATTTTCATTAAATTGATATCTTAAGAATAAATCCAAGTTTAGTTTTTTTTATAAAAAAATTAAAAAAACTAAATATATAAAAAAGACTTTTTTGTTTTTGTTTTTATTCTTTAATTCTAATCCTGAGTTCTCTTTTTTTTTTTTTTTTTTATATTTTATTTTAACAAGTTATTTATGACATTTTTAGCATGTTTGGTTCTTTTTCACATAGATCACCGTCCTAAAATTATTTCAAGTATCAAATACTTTTAAACTTTAGGGTTCCTATAATTGAGCTACAGTCACATTATTAACATAGATAGTGACTATTAATTTTTTAACTATCATGTTCTCTTGATAACTCTCATTTGGATGTAGTCTTGATTCATTCATTTACTATTTTTTAAAACTTTAACGAGAAAAGTTTAAGAGTGAAGATTTGATCTACTAATATTTTAATTCTTCCTAAAGTTGAAGCTTTTGTCATGTGATGGAAGTGTCTATAAGGACACATCTCGACAATACAATTTTAAGTGATCGATGTCTTCCTTTCTTTATGAAATAAAGGAAATTTGATTCTATCAACGCTAACAAGATTCAACATAAGAGGACGAGGGAGACATGGGCCAAGGTGATTAAGATAGGATTCGTAGTCAAAAATAAAAGGCAACAATCTTTGTGAAATTAAGAAGTAAACACATTTATCACGTGATTCCTTAAANTTACGATAAAGCATGACATGAAAGTTTTTTTTTTTTTTTTTTTTTTTTTTTTTTTTTTTGCAATATTAAGCGATTAATATTTGTTAAGATATCATTACTAAGCCAATGCGTCAAGCCCAATAATTATACTAGCTAATTGTTTATATATTTTAAGAAAAAAAATTAAGTATTTTAAGAATAAATCGTCTAGTAGTCTTTGCTTAAATATCCCTGCTCGTGTAGTCTTTTTTTTTATTTTTATAATTTTAAATTGACAAAATATTAATTAAAAATGAAGCTTCTTTTAGTACAATAATTTTTTCATGAATTAAGTGTTGAAATTACAATAGGTTAGGTACGTCCTTCAATTATTGTTTTTATATAAATTGGAAAGAAGAAATAAAGAAAGGTGAAAGATATATTTATTTTTTGGAATTTTGTTATTTGAAAGAGAAAAAAAAAAAACATGAAATAAATTAAATTAAAATAAAAATAGAAAGCATTAAATAAAGTAGTTGTTGGCCATCGTGGGACGGGTTTTAAAGAAATGGGTTTTAAGAAAGGCCCTCAATTTATTTGACTTTCAACCTTCAAATTTGATAATAACTCATTTTTATTTCAACGCTATCATTTTCCCTTCCCTTTCTTTTTAATGCTCAACCATCAATGCTATCCTTACTTTATAATATAAAGAATTACATTTACTTTATAATCCCCATCTAAAATATGTCCAACATCAAGAACAATGAATCAAATTCTAAAGTTCTTTGTTCTTTTTTGGGTTAGAAAATTTGAAAATCTTGAAGAAGAATATGAATTCAATGCTTTTGACTGAACCCACTACCATTCAAATTCTGTCTCCCCAATTACTGTATTGTTCATTTCAATTTCTTGCGCATGCCCATTCGGGATTTTGGGTACCTAAATCCTGGGTTAAGCAAAACATTTGGAGGCATGACGTATATACAAGCCTGTAGAAGGATACTCCAACCGCATGCCCTCCCCAGGAGGTGACGAGTACAGAATTGTGCCTTGCAGATGGTTCAATGCTCCAGTTGAACAGGCAGTATCCTGCACCCATTCATTGCAAGTGCACATTTCACACAACATAACACTGGAATGCTCAGACACCTTTTCATATGAAAAGCTTACTTTCGCTTTAAATCTCTCCTATGAGAAAGACTCAATGGGCTGACATGAAAGAATGTAAGCAACAGACCAACACGCCAACTTCGAATGATTATTTACACCAATGAAATAGTATCCTGGAATATCTAAAAAGCAGCACGTCTTGGGAATGGTTAGGGATATAAGAATCCAAAATAGTTCAAAGCCATATGGATGATAATGTCGGTAGTGCAGAGAGCTGCATATAATTAACGTAAATAAGCGCAGAATGGAGTGTCTGATCCATGAATCCCGACGCTAACTGCATATAATTATTTACACCAATGAAATAGTATCCTAGGCTCCTGCTAGCCGATATTGTCTTCTTTGAGCTTTCCCTCTCGAACTTCCCCTCAAGGCTTTAAAATGTGTATGCTAAGGGAAGGTTTCCACACCCTTGTAAATGGTGGTTTGTTCTCCTCCCAAACCAATGTAGGACATCACAACCCACCCCCTTCGGGGCCCAGCGTCCTCGCTGACACTCTTTCCTTCCTCCAATCGATGTAGGACCGCCCCCAAATCCACCCCCTTTGTGGCCCAGCGTCCTTACTGGCACACCACCTTGTGTCTACCACCCTTCGGGGAATAGCGAGAAAGCTGACACATCGTCCGGTGTCTGGCTCTGATACCATTTGTAAAGGTGTGAAAACCTTCTCTTAGCAGACGTGTTTTAAAGCCTTGAGAGGAAGCCCGAAAAGGAAAGTCCAAAGAGGACAATATCTGCTAACGGCAGGCCTGGGTCTGGCTCTGATACCATTTGTAACAACCCGTTGTTTTAATGTGATTCATTACCCAGCATAGAAATCTTTTGATACCTAGGCTAGGTGTACCTCAAGTAGTCCACTAATAGAACAAATTTCCTGTAGAGGAATAAGTTGAAAAAGAGTGAGGAGGCTTGAGAAGCATATATTTCTATATTACATCAGCATTTCTTCATCCTTTCAATTTCTAATCTTACAAGCAGCAGAGGAGAGAGGAGGAGACCCAAAACACTTTCTAACCCCCTTCTTATAATTAGTATTAGCAGCTTTGAAAGAGCGACCAATTGAAACAAAGATTCAGAAGAAAAACGAATTGGATCAAAGAGGTTTGTATAAAACAAATTAGATAAAGGATCTGTAGGGAAGAAAAATGAACTGCCATTTAAAAATGAATTTAGAAGGTCAAATTCTAGTTTTTCTTTTTGGGAAAAAATATTAAAATAACAAGTCAAAAGATTCTTGAGATGCTTGAGATTAGAGTTAGTTCTCTTTCCATAAATGTATACACAACTAGAAAATGGCTAGCAGAAGGAAGTTAAACCATGAACTAGAACTGTTTAGTGTTATGGCAGCAATAATAGTGGTCCACCTTATTTTTAAGGTCAATGAATGACCAGTAATGCTTAAAGGTAAAAATAACGAATCAAACTCAGAGTTCCAGATTTCAAAGAAATGAAGAGTATGTCGAGAGTTCCCTGAAGTTGTAACTTCAACAGGGCTAAATTCTTCTTCCATGTTCCTTTTGCATATTTCCTTTGATCAATTATATGATTTTCTTATCCAAAAACATGAAAAATACAGAAGCAGGGAACAAGTACTTACATTTACTGCATGCATTGCACCAATGGCAGACTGCTGGTCCGAGAATACAGCAAATGCAAATGGCTGTAACCACACACACACAAAAAAAAAAAAAAAAAAAAAAAAAAAAAAAAAAAAAAAAAAAAAAAAAAAAAAAAAAAAAAAAAAAAAAAAAAAAAAAAAAAAGTAAAAAAATGCATGCACTAGGCTAATCAATAAAATATAAGGTCAACCATCAACACAGTAGTCATAGGTATACTGCACATCAGATATTACATTAGATTTGAAACTGGAGATTACAGTATCGTATTTGTCAATTGAAAACATGGGATATTAATATCCCAGTTTATGGTCTCCACAGCTCATAGCTTAGTCAAAATCCAGTGACTGTCACATATTACCATTATAACCATCCCGGGACCTGAAATTATATTGACCACCTTAAGAACCCTTAAATAAGAATACCAATAACACAATGCAAGCCTGTTTAGGCATTGCCAACAAAGGATTCAGTTTGCTGTCCTGACAACAAAATATAGATGCCTAACGTACAATTCACCATTATCCAATCAAATGGTACAAAAGAAAGCAATAGAATTACATGTGTAACATCATGATCGGAACTTGCATTTGCAGTTTGTGAG